CACGGACACACCCACACACACGGACACACCCACACACCCACACACACACGGACACACCCACACACACGGACACACCCACACACACGGACACACCCACACACACGGACACACCCACACACACGGACACACCCACACACACGGACACACCCACACACGGACACACGGACACACGGACACACGGACACACGGACACACGCGCGCACACACACACACAAACACAAAAGCCCGCAAGCCAGACTCCAAAACCCTCAAGCCCTCAACCCTCCAAGCCTACCTGGGACTTTGTCAAACAACTTAGCAATGGTTGGGGGGCAGGGGGGGAGGTACTAATGCTAAAACTGAAGATACGCAGAGTCCCTGGAAAACTCCTAAACCCAAGACCTTGCGTTACGGGGCTCTGTGCGCCTTGCCCACAACGCTGGCCACGAGTTGAGCTTCCACTGTGTTGGCCTTCGTAGTTTGGGGTTAGAGTTTAGGGTTTAGGAGTTTAGGGTTTAGGGATGAATGGGGTTTAGGGCTCGTTCGATTGCACTTTCGGGCTTGTTTTAAGGGCTTCGGGCACAACCTGCAGAATATGCCAGCAGCCATCAACCACATTGCTTCACATGACGTGAAACTTTCGTCCTGCAAACCTAGGAGCCAAGGAAGTAGAAAGTGGAAAGTCCAAGAGCTGCCTAAGTAAGATTCGGCCCGGTTGAGTGTGAAATCTAAACCCACCCGAAACACTAAACCCTACACCCTAAACCGCGCGACGCCTTCGAGTCGCCCTCCAGCTCCTCCTGTTCGGGGATCACATGGGAGCCCTTTGGGGGGGGGGGGGGGGTTCGCGGGGCTTATCTAAATTACGGCTCTTGTCGCTTTGGCTTTACCCTAAGACTCCAAATAGCCCAAAGTATGTATTCTTCCCAGTTGGATTTTTTTGTATACTTGAAGCCCGAGGGCGGCTTTTTGTTGTCAATGAGCCCACTACTTTGATCAACAAGAAGGCCCTTCATAGCCTGAAGCCTCCAAGCCCCAAGCTAAGTCCTATAGACCACAAGTAGGCACTGGTCGGGCTTTCCGAAGTTAGGCTGCCCCAGTATGCTACAGTAAGAACAGAATTGGGGCCTGTGACTGCTACGTATAGGAGGTTGAAGGGCCCCACCTTCCCTAAATATAAACGTTTAGGGCTTCAGGATTTCGGGTGGAGTCAGGCTTTTCGGGCACACCCAAGATGCCTGGGCGTCCACGTTAACGAAGGCTATGGGACACTTCGCGTTGGGCCAAGGCCTGGGCAGCTTGTCTGGGCCATTGGCGACTCCCATGCACTTTTGAGCTCAGGGTGTGGGGCTTCGGGTAGCCTAAGTACTGAAAGGTTCTTGGAATTCTGTTAACAGCTGTAACGACCCTACTTCCCAAGATCCCTACTACGAAAACAACCGAGCTAAGCATCGCAAACCCCGAAACCCTAAACCCTAAACCCTAAACCCTAAACCCTAAACCCTGAACCCTAAGCCCTGAACCCCGAGCCCTGCTCTGCTGGAATTTTGCAGGGCCTGAGACCTGCTCAATCGCGAGGGAACAGTCCATCTATAAAACCCTACAAACCCTAGAAAACCTCAGGGTTCAGGGTTTAGGGTAGAGCCTCATGCACCCCCTGTGATTTTTTTCGTTTGCCTCACTCGCGCTGCCGTTGGGGCAGCACGAGACTGCCTGGAATCCACGTGCAGCTGCACCCTAGACCCAAGCTCTACACCCTGACTTTAGGGTTTAGGGTTTGGGGCCGGGGTTTAGGGTGACTATACCCATATGAAGGTTTCCGGAAATAGGGGTACCTGCTTGGGGTCCCTTTTTGCCCGTAAACCCCCATACACTCAACCAGACCCCGAAAAGCCACCACCTTGGCAGTCGCAAATCTGTGCCCACAAAGCCCTGGAACGCAGAAACAAGCTTAAGTCAGCGGAAAGGCAGGAGGGGCTTGACCCTAAACCCTCGGCTGGCCCTAAACCCTACTGACCCTACAGGGTTTAGGGTTTAGGGTGGTTTAGGGGGTTTAGGGTGGTTTAGGGTGGTTTAGGGTTTAGGGTTTAGGGTTTAGGGTTTAGGTTTAGGGTTTAGGGTTTAGGGTTCGAGGACCCGGATCCCCTCACAGCGACCAACAGCCTGAACCCAAGCTCTCCAAACTCTCGACCTCCCGAGCCCACGTCCTACTCGTTTTGTAGGTTACCTGCCGATTCCTTTGAGGGTTTAGGCTCTTCAGGTAAACCCTACAAGGGTCTTCAAGGGCCCATATAGTAGCTTTAGAGCCCATATATATAGTATATAGGTATATGAACCCTTGGGGCTCAAACCCAAACCCTACAACCTGTGCCCCTGCGAGCTCGCGGCACACCCTGAGGAGCGACTCGTTTTTCTTCCTGCCAAGCAGCCCGAACCCCAATGAATAGGGTTTGGGGTTTGGGGTTCGGGGTTCGGGGTTTGGGGTTCGGGGTTCGGGGTTTAGGGTTTAGGGACGACGACCGCGCAGAAAAGACCAAGGCAACCCCTAAATGCACCCCTGGCCCAAACGCTAAACCCCCAAAGCCCTGAAGCACCCCCCCCCCTAAACCTGATCTCACCCGGCATAGGGTTTAGGGTTTAGGGTTTAGGGTTTAGGGTTTAGGGTTTAGGGTTTAGGGTTTGGGGTTTAGGGTTTAGGGTTTAGGGCTGAACTGACTTCTCCAACCTACTTGGAGGTCTATTTGTGTCGGGGAGGTCGTACTTGGAGGTTCATGGGTACTTATAAGCCCACCCCTTTTCATACTTGGAGGACTTAGGGGCTGATAAGTACAGCTACAAGTGACAATTGGGGTGTTTAGGTATTTCTGGGTTTAGGGTTTAGGGGTTTGGGGGTGCAGGGGTTTGGGGTTTAGGGGTTTGAGGGTGCAGGGGTTTAGGGGTTTGGGGTTTAGGGGTTGGTTTAGGGGTTTAGGGGTTTGGGGGTGTAGGGGCTTGCCGTTTTGAGGTTTAAGGGTTTGGGGTTCTGGGGTTTACCCAGCAGCAGAGACCCAGGAAAGTAAGTTCCCCCGCAGGCCTGCGCTCAGGGTTGAGGTCTTCCGAGGTCAAGGGTTCGTTTTTAGTGTGGGAGAAAAAGGGGCTCGGAGCTCCAAGGGTATTCGCGTTTAAGTTTAGGGTTCAGGGTTCAGGGTTCAGGGTTTAGGGTTCAGGGTTCAGGGTTTAGGGTTCAGGGTTCAGGGTTCAGGGTTCAGGGTTTAGGCTTTAGGGTTTAGCAGCTGTAGGAGTGCGAGCCCAGATGCCAAGCACAGCGCATGGGACGGCGCATGAACAGTTTCTGCTGCACAGGCTGCACAGGAACAAAAGTAGGCAGCAGCTGCTACACGTTTCGTGAAACTACTTGCGTGGACCTGCTGTCGCCGCCATGGTTAGACTCGCCCTAGGTCACGATACAGCACCCCAGGGCACGATGGATCCATCGCCCAGAATGGCAGCAAAAGCTTCCGCAGCCCCTTGGACCTGCTGCACGTTCTTCAGCTGTCCTTGCACCCCACTGCTGTCGCCGCCGCAAAGAGCATGGCCCCAGCTGACAACAGACCCATCGCCCAGAATGGCAGCGAAAGCCGAATCTGCAGCTTGGATCTGCCTCACGTCTTTCAACTGACCTAGCACCGCACGACTGTCGCCACCGAAGCGACTATCGCCCCAGGTCACAGCAGACCCATCGCCCATAATAGCAGCAAAAGCGTGGTTCGTTGCTTGGATCTGCTGCACGCCTTTCAACAAATCTTTCACATCATTGCTGTCCCCCCCAAACTCAGCATCGCCCCAGGTCACAACAGACCCATCGCCCAGTATGGCCGCGAAGGCCCTCTGAGTAGCTTGGATTTGCTGCACGTCCTTCAGCAGACCTTGCACCTCACTGCTGTCACCACCAGCATAATCATAGCCCCAGGTCACAGCAGACCCATCGCCAAGAATGGCAGCAAAAGCGAGCTTGGTAGCTTGGATCTGCTGCACGCCCTGCAGCTGACCTTGCACACAACTTGTGTTGCCGCCGAATTTCGGTTTGCCCCAGGTCACAACGGAGCCATCGCCCAGAATCGCAGCAAACGCCCTGCTAGTAGCTTGGATCTGCTGCACGTCCTTCAGCTGGTCTCGCACGCCACTGCTGTCACCGCCCCAGCCAGGATTGCCCCAGGTCGCGACAGACCTGTCGCCCAGAATGGCAGCAAAAGCGAAGTCGGCAGCTTGGATCTGCCCTACGCCTTGCAGATGATGTTGCACGGCGCTGCTGTCACCACCGCTGCTAGCATGGCCCCAAGTGACGACAGAGCCATCGCCCAGAATGGCAGCAAAAGCGGCCGCAGTTGCTTGGATCTGCTGCACGTTCTGCAGCTGGCCCTGCACCCCACTGCTGTTGCCACCACTCTCAGCATTGCCCCAGGTCACCACGGACCCATCGCGCAGAATGGCAGCGAAAGCCGAATGGGTAGCTTGGATCTCCTTCACCTCCTTCAGCTGAGCTTGCACATCACTGCTGTCACCGCCCCAGTGAGGATTGCCCTCGGTCACGACAGACCCATCACAGAGTAGGGCCGCAAAAGCCCGACTGCCACCGCAAATGTGAACGCCCCCAACCTGCAAGGTCAGGATATCACCGTTCTGCACACTAGACTCTTCAAGAGTGGCTGCTCCATCCAGAAGGCCTCCTAAGGAGTCCAAGAGCCTGCCCCTGCCAACTGCTAGAGCCTTCTGTGCTCGGGCTCTCACGGCGTCCACGGTTTCATCCCGTTCTGCTTCCAGTGAAACCGCCCTGCCGCTCAGCAGGACCACCTCAATCGCAAGGGGCATGATGCTTCTTGGCTGCTGCACTTTTGGCCATAAACCCTAGACACGCAAGGCTACTCTCAAGACAAAAAACTAACAGTACTTGCATGTACGTAGAACATACCCCGAGAGCATAATAAATACGGTCCTACACAATGCTCAGCATCAATAACAAGCTCCAAATTTTCAAGCCCTAAGCCCTCAACCCTAAAACCTAAACCCTACACCTTCAACCCTAAACCCTAAACCCGATACCCTAACCCTAAACGCTGTTTGAGTAAATCGGCCCGAAAGACGTCCTGGACGACCTCAGAGGCCCCACAAAACACACACCCAAGAAGACACACAGAAGGACCCTAAACCTCGACCCCAACCCAAAACAAAACAGCCCTGGGCCCTGGGCCCTGAGCCCTAAGCCCTAAGATAATCCCAAAATCAAAAAAACCCTACAACCCAAAAAGCCCAAATTCCCCGAAACCCTAAAACCTTACAACCTTAACACCTACACCCAAGCCCTAAGCCCTAAGCCCTAAGCCCTAAGCCCTAAGCCCTAAGCCCTAAGCCCTAAGCCCTAAGCCCTAAGCCCTAAGCCCTAAGCCCTAAGCCCTAAGCCCTACGCCCTACGCCCTACGCCCTACGCCCTACGCCCTACGCCCAAAGCCCAAAGCCCAAAGCTCGAGCCCTCAACCCTACACCCTACACCCTAAACCCTAAACCCGATGCGGAGCTGCAATTGGTATTGTAGAAAGGAGTTAGTGTTGGAAGTTGGAAGGGTTAATGAACCCGGTAATCGTATTTGGCTCAAGATGGGCTTGAACAGAAAGCCACAAGTTCAAAAAGAAGTGCCTGGGTTCTTAGGGTTTGGTAAGGGTGTGGATTCCTTCCCCCTTTCCTTCCCCCCTGGGTTGCTCTTATCCGTGTTCTTGGTTGTTTCTTGGTTCGATCTGGGAAATATAAGTTCAGGGCGATTAGGGGAGTTGATTTCCTTCCTTGGTTGTCCCCCCGTAGGTTATGAGCCCAAATTAGGTTCCCTGCGGTTAAGTGTTCTTTCAAGGTTTTTGGGATCAAGAAGCAATGCCTTCCCCGAAGCGATGGCTCCAACTTGCCTCGGATGGTGGACAAGATGGTGGAGCTGGAAATGGTGCAGCTGAGTCTCTGGGTGAAAGAGCGGTGTTGGAAGAGGTGATTCCCGACGCTGAAGAACATCTGGAAGAGGCCTTGGTTGCAGAAAGCCCCAATGCGGGTATGAATCCCAATAGGGATATGGTTAGCAATGCTGAAGCTGAAGGACGTGCTGTTTCTGTACCGCCAAAGCCTGGTGAAAAAAGGAACTGGGATGCGACTGGTGGCATAGATCGTGAAATGGAGGTGACTGTTTTACGAGTGTTACACAAACACGGGTACCAGCCGTCGTCTTCGACTTCGGGTCGAATGGTAGACCAAGAGTCTCAGACCGATCTGATTGGAGAAGTGCTACAAGCGACCAGGAGGCCGTTGAACAAGATCAAAAAGGGTCCATCTTCGAGTTCCCAAGGTGGTGGAAGCGGTCACAAACAGAAGGGTGCGGACGGCTTTGAAGCTGCACCTGCTGCTGAATACGCCATGGGGGAGGAGGAGATCCTACAGATGGAGGCTGAACGGTTGCGACAGCTGTCAGAAGAAGAGGACGAGATGCGACAGGTTTCTGAAAGGGACGGTTTTCGGAAAGACGAGCATCTGATCCAAGCGTGTGATGGCACAATGTGGGAATTGCACCTCCATGAAGATGGGAGACAATATTATTACTGCCTGGATACGCACGAAACCAAGTGGACATTGCCGGTGGTAGGTGAAAAGGTGAAGAGTGACGAGGTGGTTGGGTCTCCTTTGGGCAATGAGCTGGAAATGGAGGCGGCACTGGATTCTTCATCCTCTACTCCGAAGACTGAGTCTACGAGGGCATTCCAGGGTAGTGTAAATAGTTTAGGTGAAAAAGATTTTTCCTCTACTATCAGGGATAGCGGTCCTAGGGCTGATGGTGACGCCCCGACCTCGGGTTCTCCTGATGAGGAAGGGATTCCTGGGAACCAAGCCAACATCGCTGGAGCTCAACACCTGGATCGGGAAGAAACAGAAGCGCTTTCTGAGGGTGGGGCAGCGATGGAATTGGTGGATCCAGAAGAGAAAATGCCCAATGAGGTGATCGGAACTGTGTCGGCTGCAGAAGAGCGAGTGGTGGATGTGGTACCTGTTGTTCAGGAAGGTGGTCCTGGAGATTCGGAGGATGGAGAGAAAAAGTTGTGTGTTACGACTGAGGAGGTCTCTTCGTTTGGTGCCAAGAATTCTGCCATTCAAGGGGAAAAAGAAGCTTCTGGAATAGCTGGAGACACGGATGATCTAAAAAATGAGGCCTGGAGCGCCAATGATGCGCGGGTTGATGCGCCAGATATTACCTGGAGTGCGAAGGAAGCACGGGTTGAGGTGCATGTGGTGGTACGCAGATTTGCCTGCTGCAGAAGGTGAGACAAAGGACTCCAATGATGGGTCCACTCCCATGAAGGGAGAAGCGTTGCCGTCTGGAAGTTCACCGGAAGTCGACACCGAGCGAACTACA